TGTGTTTTTCTAAAATTCATGTTAGAATTTGATAATTTAAAAGTGTTATATTTGGTGTAAATCTCATTTTACACTATTCTTTTAAAATTAATTAGAGTATATAAATATGATTTTGTAATATTGAATTACACATAATGTCTATCTTTTAAAAAATATGAATATGTATTATTTTTTCTAAACTTTTAAATATCAAATATGACAGAATTTGGTAATTTGAAGTTTTATAAGTCGAATTTTTAAGATTAAATTATATTTAAAATTCATTTAGTTTTTAAGTAATGCGTCATTTTTTTTTCTAAAAATTTTATATATCAAATATGATGGAATTTGGTAATTTAGAAGTGTTATAAAGGGATCTTAACTCTAATAATATTAATATTTGATATGAATGTGAGTTTAAAGTGAATTAAATTATGTTATAACCTTTGTGTTTTCTGATGTTGCAGCAAATTCCACCATATTTACGTGAACAAACTGCAAATTCTTTATACTTTGAAGCACAATGTAGGATTCAAGACCCAGTTTATGGATGTGTTGGGATTATCTCAAAACTATATGAGCAAATCCACAATACAGAAATTGAACTTGCTCAAATTCAAACTCAGATTACATGTCACAAGCTTCAACTGCTGCACCCAAATAATGCAGAAACAAACTTCAACTTGTTGCCAACAGCTGAAGCTCAATCCAATTTTCAAATACCACCAGAAAGCAACAACCCTCCACACTTTCAATGGCCTAATCAAGTTCCTTGGTTTAATTAAAGCTCATGTTTTTCAATTCATACAAATAATTCCTTTCATTTCGTTCTTCAAAGAATGTCCCAAGGGCAGTGATTCGTTATTGTACTGAACTTTTCAGAATAATTCTTATATAAGTACTAAACCTTTTCATTTTAAACTCAATTATTTAATTTTGTTGAGAAGGAAAATATAGCTAGCGTTATTACAAAAAATCATGTTGTGTTACGTGAAATAATGTCACGCTAAAATTTATGACACCTATAAATTTATAAGGATGAAAAATAAAAAGAATTTAAAGGAATAAAAGGTAAGAGAAATACTAGTGAAAACTGAATATATATATATATCACCACATTACTTGAATATATAACTATAATTTATTTATAATCTATTTTAAAATAAATAATACTATTACAATAAAGAAATTAGATTATTAATACATAGTTAGCCAAAAGTTTTACTTTTAAAATAATATAAAACATTTACCCAAGTTAAAACGACCTCGAGTATAAATCAAGTTTATCTTTAAAACATATCCATTTAATCTTTAAGACTTGACCCATCAAAACTCAAAAGAATCAAACATTATTGGATGCAATCCATAATCCCCTTACATCAATTGTCTTAATGGAAGATCCACCAAGCTTTCAAATCATATCATTCAAAATGTTACGATTTTAAATTAAAAAAGTTATACTTTTATTAAGTTATAAGTTATGACTCAATGATTATAAGTCAATCTAATAATTAATATCGAATAATTACTGAAAACATTTTTTTTTACTGATTGTATCAACTTTCTTCAAATAGACCACAAAATCATAATCAACTTAACAATAAGTACACGATTACACGATGTCTTTGTCGTAATATAAGAGACTTCAGTCTCATGCAATGCAAGGAATAAACAAGAGGAATTATAAACCTCTCTAAAGAAATTAACAACACATTATAAAAAGTTATTAAAAGAATCTGGAATTGAACATAAGTGGTGTTCAAATTAACAAATTGAAGCAGTGACCACATAGAAATGGGTGGTTAGGTCCACAATCTCAATTTCATGAAGCCAAAATGCAGGAAAAAGTGTTTTTTGTTATCAGCATGCAGGAAAAAATGTAAAGACGGCAACGTGTTTTTGATTGAGAAATTCACTTTTATTGATGAGAAACTACAACACTCACATCATTCATTCTCAACATTTAAAATACCATGATTGTGGCTATCGAATGAATTTCATATGGACAGAGCTGGGAGGTTAGAACCACACAATCTTGATTTCACGAAGCAAGAATATGAAAAAGTGCAGTCACAGAAAAGTTTTTATGTTGAAGAAGAATATAATCTGATTTAGTAGAGTAAAAATGCAGAAAACGTGCAAAAACATGGACAAGTGAAGTTAATGAAGAATATAATCTGCTTTCATAGAGTATAAGAATTTGAGTTGATGAAACGGTTAGTTTCATCATGTGTTTTAAAATGTAATATCAACTATTGCATTTTGATACTTAAAAAACTCATCTTAAATTTTAAGTAAATTTGTCATAATCATATCACAATATAAAAAGTTAAATTGGTAAAATTTACCAGTCGCTGTAAACTTATGTACTTGATCCTCCAAAACAAATAGCCTAACAGTCAAATATGAAACTCTAGGTACTTTTAAATTGAGAAGTTCTGAAGTTTTGAGTTCATTACTTGAGATCACTGTATCGGTCCGCTTGCAAAATAAATGACCTCAGAGGATTAAACACCTGTAGCTGGTTTCTTTCCATCAATGAACAAGCCCATCGTTTTGAACCACCGCATCAGATTTCGATGTTCCTTCACATATAGCCACGCTTGAAGAAATTTAAAGAGAGACTCGTTCACTCCTCGTTCCTCAATGTAAGTGTGAAACGCATCTCTCATCTTATCATCTAGATCCCTGTCAATTTACAGAAAGTCAGTCAAAACGAATGAAGGAACTCACGTTGTAGAAATATTTTCAACAATAGTTAAGACTCTAAAAAACAAGCCAATACGGCACAATTCTGTTACGTGCTAGGCTTCCAGCAATAGAGGAAGGGTGCTGCTTGAGTGGGAGTCTATTCTCCTTCAACTCCTTTCCTCAAATACAATATTCCTTACACCTTCAAAAAACAAAATTAAGAACTTCAACCTATTAATTGCATCTTATGGCTAATAGAACTCGATCATCTTAGATTTAAGGTTCGGATTTAACTTAACTTCAAAAGTTTATTCATAGGAGGACTCCTCAAGTATATATACTACTTTAGTCATGTCACTCATCAATGCAAGTTCTCCAAAACATCATTCAACCAGAACACCAGATATAGTGAGAAATTTACAAGACTGGATATCTGCTAGGTAATTTGATATAACAAATTGGCCTAATAAGCCCAACAATGATCATTAAAAGTCTAATTCCACCCTCAAATTTGAATGTTTGACATGATTCAATCTCAAAAGCTAACTCTCCCCTTGAATCATGCCATCATATAACACTAGCAATTGTGGGTTTTACTTCTACATACTCTAGAGGTTGCAATGACAATAACTTCCAATCTCCAAACCTACACAAACGTAAACCCCAAACAAAAAAATGGAGAGAGGAGTACTGACGCGAAAACAGGGCCAGTGTATTGCGAAGGGATGAGGAGGTAGCCAGAGTCTTCGAGCTTAGGCCTCATGGAAACAGAGTGAATCCCCAGAGCATCCTCGTACAAACCGCATAGGAAAATCAAAGATTCCTTCTGCGAGGGTTTGAAGACATCGACATGGATGAAGAGCTGGTCCGTGGCAGAATCCTCGTCCTCGGGGGCCAACAGTCGCATCACGTAGACGGTCACCTCTTCTTCGCCGTAGCTGCGCTTCAGAACCGGACCATGTGAGTCCAGAGCCCCCTTCACGATGGTGAACGGCGACGGAGGACTCACTTTCTGCAAGACACGTGCCACTGTCACGTGAGCTAATGTCTAAACCTAGAGTAAAACCCTAACAGAAAAAAGAGAGTGAAAGAGCGCGCTTACAGGAGGCATGTTCATTTTGGCGACTTCTTGATAGTGATCCTTCAGGGAGCGGAGAAGCATCGAGTTCACGGCGGTGGAGATACCGCCACCTTCCGACGAGAACGGCCGCCGGAGAGCACCCACGGCGCCCACCACCGCTCGCTTCCACATTTCTCTGTTTACTTTTACTTTGCGTCTATTCCTCCGTGTCGTGTGTGATTGTGTTGTGGCAACTCGACCCAACTCAGGACTCACTCAAAACTAATCACAATATTATATTGTTATTTAACATTTCATTGTTACATACATTTACAGTTTAATTTTTGTAATCTTAGAAATAATGTACTAATTGTTCGGAACTAAATACTATATTCTATATTTTAATGATAAATAAATAAAAACTAAAAATGATATGTACTATTGCTCTTGTCAAGTTATAAATTAAAAATACAAAGAAATGTATTTTAAAATGAACAATTTTGTTAGCGAAAATGAGATTTGATATTCACAAGATACTCTTTGATGTTATAAAGTATTCTAACATAAATAGAAAAGTAGACAATCTTTGAAATATAACACGAGCAATATGTGAAAATTTAAAATTTAATTAATTTGTAAAGAAAAAGCTCATATAATATAATTACACAATATTAATTTTCAAAAACAATATAGCTCTCTCTCTTAATATAATTTTCAAACAATCTTCAAAGCATACAAAAAAGTAAGCGTATAATTGAAAGAGAAAAATGTTATCTTAAAAGTTTAAAAATAAGAAACAAAAATAAACAATCTTTCATTAAAAAAAAGGCCAACAATACTTGTTATTACCTACTGCAAAAGTAACTTGTGAAAAAAAAAATTCTCTTAAGTACGCATTCAATAAAAACGTCCAAGCTTTGAAGATAAAAACGTCCTTACCATTTAACATTATACGATTAGTTGACAATATTTACACAGTTAAATTAATAACCATGCATCTGAAGGCCTTTTTTTATCAATATTATTTAACAACATTGATTGGACAATAATAGTTTTCTGGTAAATTTATTAAACATTAATCAATTTATCAATATTATTTAACATGATTTTTTGCGTCCCCGACAGAGGCACCAGTTGAAACTTCTATCATTCTAACATCTTACTAAATTTAACACTTTTGAATCAAGAGCTTCTTCCAAAGCAATGAAATTTGAAAACTAGTTTAACATTTCCACACTAAGCATGCAATCATACTTCTTCTATAAAATGGGGAAGTGCATCTTAGCAATTTTTCACTTGATGAGAACCTCAAACAAGGCACAAAAATGAAAGCTCCGATCATTCAGAATTGTAATAGGAAATATCATAAGATTCAAAATCTGTCTGACCAAAGCTTCTTACTATACACATAAGTAATTAGTACATCTTGGGGAGCTGAAAAATGCATGTGATGTAAGAATTCTATGAGCTTCGACCGTGAAGAGACTTGCTTACTTGTGAGGCTAAGACCATTGCCTTGGCTCTCGTGCTCATCAGCATCAATTCCCGCACTGCACGACGCTGATGTTGCCGAGCATTTTTAGCTCTCTTTGGAGCTAATCGGTTGTCCCTTTCCACAAATGCAAGTCTGAATTTTTCAGCTACTGATAATTCGGTGGAGTCTGAAGAAGATTGAGTGATGGGTTTCAAAGCAAACCTATGATGCACTGTCCATGTTCTGGGATCAATATCCTTGACAACTTCGTTGTCCAATATGATGTTTTGCAATGCTTCCCTCGGAACCTCAGTTACCATGAACCCAAAGGGTGATGACTTAGGATTTACAACAACACGTGGGCACTCAGTAGAAAAGTCCTCCAAAGAAATTTTATCAATGTTTGGCTGCATATAAAATAAAACAATTCACTTCTTGAAGAAATCTCAGGCAAGAAATATGTTAACAACTTTGATTTCCAAATGCAATGAGAATCAAAGTAATGTTATAATAATCCAGGCAAAATTTGAAGGTCATACCCATACTAGCCACCGGAGTGAGTGTGCACCACTAGCAATTTCTTTCGTATCCAGCTCCTCCCAGGAATCCTCCTCCACATAATCATCAAATCTTGGTTTAAATATACCCAAGCACCTCCGTGCAGTGTTGTCACTCCTTGGACACCCTCTGCATTATTAATCATGATTCATTGCCTATTACGAGTTTTGTAATGATGCAATCATACTCAGCACATTCTTGTATTCAGTGTGATTATAGCTTATGATTACATGAAAACCATTATGTAAGAAGTACCATCATGAGGGAAAGAAAAAACACCCTAAACGATTTTAAAGCTACGTTTTTTTTTTACCTTGTTAAATTAATTTACTTTCTAGAATAAACCCTATACCTACAAATCCCAAGGTTCAAATAACATTTCCTTCGTGACATTAGACCAATCTTTAAAGCCATATTTTGTTATAAAATATTAAGTTAAGATGCTTTGCTCATCTTTATAAGCGAACACAGTCTATAGATTCTAACTACAAAAGTATAAAAAGAATATGGTACCTAAAGGGTGAAACAAATTTTTTAGAATGACTTAAATGAGAAACGAAATGCTTAAAACAGCATTGAAGAAATTGCCTTAACAAAGAAATGAAACTTAAAATGGACAACAGTAGATATGTACCCGCATCTCAATGTCTCCAACAAATGGCAGTGCTTCACAAGCTCAGCTATACCACTAGCAGTAATTTTGGTGCATCGGCTGCAAATAGTCTCAATATATCAAGTGGTTCTGAAAGAGAGAGAAGTATAATATAAAAAAACACAACGAAAACTCAAATATTTTTGTTAGCAAGATAGATATCAACAATGAGATATTCTAATTTCAAGGCAAGTTGTCGATGAACCAAAATAAAGGCAAATGAAATTAATGAACATCGCATCCAGTAGAGTAAAACCACGAAATACAATTAAGTTTACAACGAAAGAGGAAGGTCTAAGCAGAAAAGTCAATCAGTAGTGATCACCAGCTTCTAATGAACTCATGATATAGATCAAACAGCAAAATATTTTCTCAAAAAGGTGCCTGTCAGCTGGTCCATTGCAGGGGACATGTAACATGCTCTTGGAGCATCAAATAAGCTTAAGAGTTAAGACTAGAAGCTAGAGCATATTGCAAGAAAGTCTCATACATGAAACAGCTAAATATTACGAAAAATCATGTTTTTTTCGAGCTCGTGTATTTTAAGACATCAAGGCAAAATAAATTGTTTTATTGTTTTTTGAAATGGTTATAATTCTATACCTTATATCCAGAGCTTTAATGAATCTACATACTTCAGCTGCTTTTATCAAGCCAGAATCAGAGACATCTGAGCCAGAGATATCGAGGATTTCCCAAGAAGTATCAGCCAATGCGATCAGGACATCATCATTCAGCAATTTTCTTCTTCTAGCAATAGCTGCCACCACTATCTGTCATTAAGTGTAACTAAATTATTTATTTGTATGTGTGTATAGTGCCCACGATCCATGATGAAAGATTTTTTTTTAAGTTCTTTTTATGTGGAATACACAACATAATCAAAGGTTTTTATTATGGGATAAACAAAAAGTGTTTAGGACAGTGAGCAGAACATAAGTTTCAACTAAAGAAGAATACTCCTGTTCAAGAAAGGATAATTTCTCTACCAAATAAACGGGAAATCCTGGAGAAACCTTTGTTTGCCACACATTTGCATTGAGCACACCATAACTTTACATGTATGAGCATTACGATAAAAATGACCTATTTAAAGATTTGAAGAAAAAGAATCATTTTCCAGTAACCTACCTTTATATCAGCTGGCAAGTTGACAGCAATCTCACTCAAATCTACAATAATATCCTCCAGATGCCTTCCAATAACTCCCACGCAAAGGCTGACTAAACTTGAAGGCTTTGTCTTCTTAGATAGAAATCCTGCACAAAAATTACTCAAAAAACTTTGCCAATTCCTTTTCTGTGGCATATGCTTATGCAAAAAGAATTGATGCATGCTCACCAAGGTTTAAACTAAAATCCTCAATTAAAAAACCTAAACCTCTCCCAACTAACACCCACCTAGTGTCTCTTTCAAAGAAAACATATTTTAATCATTCTAGTCAGATGTAAAACTTAAACTGAGCTTCCATACTTCGGAATAATCAGGTCATACAAACGCAGAGTCAAAGATCAAAACCTAATTAATCAATGTGCAGTACCCACAAAATCTGGTAATTCCGTCAAAAACAGATATCAATCGCAATAAAGCCCAAATGAGTAATGGCTTGAACTTTCTACATAAAATTAACACAGAAACAAAGAACCACGGTCTTTGAAATTCAATTGATCCCCAAAACAGAGTAAGTTCGATGATCAAGGGGCTCTGAAAGATGAAAGCTTTAACAAAACCTAAACATAAACATAACACCCCATCTCTAAAACTGAACAACAGAAGCTGCGTTTCATAGAAAAACATATTGAAGTTTAAAAATTTACCGGGAAATTGAGGGTGGGCAATGGAAGACTTGGATTTGACGTTGGATGGGGGATTCAAATCGAGGTTTTCCAAAGAGGTCGCTAATGCTTTGGCACCTTTACCTTTATCCATCCAAAATCAAAAATGAAAAAACTATGCAACGCAAACGTGCGCAACACCCTCAATTCCTAAGAACCAAATCCGATGATGTTATCAACTCCTAATCACTTTCTCTCTACATTGTGTTCTGAAATAAACGTCGCCGACTTAACTTAGGGTCCTCTTTTGAAAAAATTATTATTACCAATATTAATTCAATCTAAGAAAAAAAAATTGATTTTAATATATTGTTATCTATTATTTTAAGAATTAGTAGTGCATGATTAATATTATTCCATGTAATATATAGTATACAAGTTAGTTTCTTTTGTTTTATAATAGAAAAATTAGAGAAAAGATATGTTTTGTCTCCACTTAACTTTTCCAAATTCAATTTTAGTTGTTTTAGTATCTGGGTTGTGTTTGTCGTGGTGTGAAATAACAGCTTGATTGAGAAATTAAATGGGTGTATAACTATACGGTTTATATAATAATCACTGAAATTGACAGACAAGTGCGTCACCGAATGATATATTAAATAATTTGTGTTTTTAATCATTAAAATGGTGAAGACTAATGTAAACAGAAAATTACATGCTTTCCCAAGAACCAAAAACGTAAAATCAATTTTATTACTTAATTACTGGAAACCATTTAAAACATCTTCATCAAATATTTCGTAACCTCCATTTTATACTAATGTGTAGCAATCTCATTAAAAAAGTGTCTAAAAATATTTCTGCAGAATTGACTCATAGAAAAAAAAAAAAAAGACAAGAAAGCCGCAAGATTATGAAATTCTTACACAATAACTGTATAGATAAGAAAAACAAAAAAAAAAAAACCCAAACAAAAAAAAAAAAACAAAAAAAACACAAAAAAAAAACCAAAAAAAACAAAACAAAAAACAAACAAAAAACAAAAACACCACAAAACACAAAAAAAAAAAAAAGGAAGAAGTATAATTATAATTATTCTTTAACAATTAATATATTAAATAGTTTAATAAAAATTAATTTATAGAGATCAGTCGCTGAGTCTCCATTTAGTATTTCATATTAAAAAATCAAACTTTCAAGACGTAAATATAAATCTTTGAAAGCCATGTTAAATTACAAATGTAATAAAAATATCATGAATAACTACTATTCATAATGAAGAAAACAATAGATACACAATCCTGCAAATGAGCTAATTGTTTATAGACATTTGTCGCTCAAATACTTTAGCGAAGTTAATTAAACAAATTGACTCTCTTTTGGATGTATTTCTTTTTTGTTTACAATTAGCATTATAGTTCATAATAATAGTTTAAAACAGTTTATCGTTTTACAAGAGAAAATAATCCATTAAATAAAAATTGTTATCATTTAAAGTTAATTTTTAAATTCATGTACAGTGTATTAATTTAATATTGAAGTTGCAAAAATGATCATATTAAGATGTGTTAGTATAAATATTTTAGTTTAAATTATTAATTTGATCTTGCTAACGATTGGTGTAAATATAAATATGTTAGTTTATTTGATGTAAGAGAGCTAAAAGTTACCTTAAAAGCTAATCAGTATCATTATAATATAATATATTACTAATTCAATTGTTATTAAACATGCAAAGCACTCAATTAAACCAGTATTAACATATAATAAAGAAACATTTTTTATCAGTATTAACCGGTTTATTATATTTTGGATTATCTAGAATCAGTTACCATACTTTGACTGGAACTAAGTGGGTCAGAAAATAAAACATATTAATTTTAATGTTAATTAACTTAAAAAATAACTCAATTTAAAGAATAAACATGATTATTTAAAATTAGATGTGGTACGATTACGCTTGTACTACTATGTACTTTTCAAATATTTACTTATTCATTGTCTTTTTCGATTCTTTATTTAACTATAAATTATTTGAGATAATATAAGACAAAGTAATTGTTAATTTTGTTACATTCTTATGCTTATTTAATTATGAATGGTTAGTATTGAGTTGATTTTAATATAGTTTATATTATTATAAGAATCTTTTTTAAAAAGTTTTAGTTTACAATCATTTTGATTTCTCTTTTACATTAAACATCCAAATGAATAACATATGCAAGCAAACAACTCATTACCATTAAGCCGTTGATTAGTATGTTATGGGATATCATACAATAAAACAACATGAACTTAACTTATTAAGGAAAAGATATTATTCTAAGGACATGGTCAACTTGAAGAATGTGTGTAATCTATCTGAGCAATTATTCATCCACTTCTTCAATTTATTATTATGAGTTGCCGTATCAAGTCTGTCTTACATGTTTTCATCAATTTCTCCATCAAAGTGTTATTTTAACATCAGTGTGCGACAAATAATGTATCAGTAGGAATAATTGATGCCTACAGTGTCTGAATTTTGAAACCCAAAACTAGATTTTTGAAATATATATATCAAATTCATGACATGATATGCAAGAGTTTAAGTTTTTTTATGATTAAATTCTCAGCAATATAATCACAAGTTTTCTTTTATGAATTTATATATGTTTAAAAATGATTGAAATTGTTATAGTATTTTATTGAAATATTTGCGTAAAGTTCAAATTTCAAAAACAAATTGAAAATCATATTCATTTTCTCTGCGAAAGATCCCTCTCAGCTTGTGTCCTACCCTCCTCTACTATGTTCCTTTCACTTTTTCTCGATTTTATATGTCCCGTTACCTTACAATTTCATTTCATTATTTGTTGTACGTGAATTAAGGGGTTCTAAACTATGTTTTTAGTCTCTAAATTATTGGATTTTACTGCGTTTTCGTCCCTTTTCAAAGTAAGGTACAATGTAATCTTCTTTTTTTGGAAACGTTCGTTTTAGTCTTCGGAATTTTGGTTTTAGTCCTATTTGTTTTAAATGAGGATCAAATTTGTAAACAGTGTTTAGTTTTCGAGGAACTAAAACGAATGTTTCGAAAAGCGCCGGAATAGAGGATCCAAAAGGGTACCGTACGGTAAGTTAAAACAGGACGAAAACCGAACCGGCAATAGGGTTAGAAACTAAAAACAGTAGGGTTTAAGTCCGATAAAGAAATGTTTAACTAGTAAGGTCAAGAAAATAAGTATAACAGCAACATATTGTAGGAAACTAACATTATTCCCAATAAATAGATGGGGTAACTTTGGGTTCATGTAGGTTGGTAACCATACGGGATTCGCGTCAAGGAAGAGATGCGCCGAAGCAAGAATACAACAATAAAATTGGCATGGTGGTAGATAATTAAGTAATCTTTAAAGATAGTTTTTAATAGAAGTGTTGTAACCGATAAGTTTTGTTATATTAAAATATGGACGGATTACTATCTTGTTAATTATAAGTAACTCAACACATTATAAATACATGTCAAATCAAATATATAAAGATAATTAATATATTTATTATAAATTTCAAAGTTTAAGTATAACTTCTCACTGTGACTTTAACGAGTTACTCGCGTTGCCCCTACGATTTGAAAATCATACATAACAAAAAAATTAACATACCAGAATTCAAAAAATTAACTTAAACCTAACAATAAAAAATAAGTGAAGGGGTGTGTAAAAGTACTTCAACGCTGAACCGAAAAATGAATATTAAATTTAGTGAGAATTAAGATGGTTTTAGGGCAAAAGATACCGAAGGGATAAAAAATAGGGGATATAAAGGGTATTTTAACGATGATCTATACGAGTTAAACGCAATATTAACTTATACGTAAAAAATATTAACGTCCGGCGATTGCCTACCTTCCAGCTGGAACACTACTGTGCCGGTGCGTAGACTCTACTAAAACAAGTTATATGTCCACTCTATCCACCGTGGGCAAACAGCGTGCCTGCTTTTCATTTCGTGTGAACATTTTACATGAATATATTACTATTACGTTTTTCGTGTTGAAATTTTAATGAATATATATTGGAGGATGGCGTGACTTCTAAATTCAGTAATATTAGATGGACAATGCGCTGGAGATAATTATATAGTTTTTTTTTTTGAATGACGAAGATACAAGAGGTACTTTTAATTAAGGTTACGTGTGAGTGAGAGTTTCAAAGGGTTAGATTTCCTTTGAGATCTTTTTTATTATCCTATTTAAACATATATTGATTTGATATATTAAAATTATTTTAATAATTTAAAAACATGATACACCGTATTGGATTAATGTATTTTGAAGACGTACATTAATATCGTACAGAAAAATTTCTCATAATCAAGCATTCATGTTTGAAAGAACAGTACAGCCTATGGAAATTAAAGATTAATAAGATAGAGCTGTAAACGTCATACATGAACAGTAGTAGGCAAGCCATTAAAAGGGCTTTAAAATAAAAAGTTAGAATTTTAGTAGTGTTTACATTGTTTTTTTTTGTATTTTCTGAATTCTTAACAATTTCTCATCATGAGTCTTTTTATTGAACAATTTTTTTGCTGCATATCCATGAGATAGGTATTTTCTTAAACCGCGACATATTATTGACTGTTTGCCTGTTAGAAAAAATATTTTATAGAAATTTGTTTGAGGTGACTACCAAGATGAACTGTGATTTATATTCTAATAAATTTTCAAAATAGAATTCTTGAGAAGACACGACAGTAATGAAAAAAAGTTCAATCCACACACAAAAAGGGGAGGTACGTTCAAGCCAAACGGGATAAAACAATATATTTATATTTATAGATTATTTTTTTATAAACAAGTCTATCTTATAATTTATTTTTTGAATTATTTTCAAAAGCACAAGTTATGTTTTTTTCACACGAATTTCTATCTGGTTCTTGTTGGAATGTAATATAGAAGCTAATACATTTAACAAAGTAACTTCTTTGTCTGCGGTTTAAAGGCACACTAATTTGGAATTAGTAAGAGTTGAATCTGTGACAATAATCACAGAGATGAAAAAAACTCGCGAAAACGTTCTAAATACGGAATAAATATGAGGACTTGAATGACACTAAACCCTCGATAATTGGTTGTATTGATTCTGCTACGGACAAATCGGGAACCCTTAAATCCAGTGCGAGTTCCCTTTTACGATAACGCACTCAACCAACTTCAAGGATGTGGGCTGTGACTAAAATTTATAATTTCGATTTAGGATGTGACGGCAGCAGTAATTTCATCCAAGTTTACGTTTAACTCGGTTACTTATATAGTCGTCATCAAACACAACAGAAGGTGGGTAATGGGTATCTACACTCCAAAGATATTAGCAAGGGTGGTATTTAGGAAAACTTGTGAACTGAGAATAGAGAAAAAAAATCTAAGGTTATAAGAATAATAGTGAAAGCTAAGTAGAGTAAGTTAGCCTGACTAAAAGGCAACTACACTTAACCTAGCTTAATGACATGACAAAAAGTTAGAAACACACCTAAAAATGAGACAATAAGATTATTGACACAGTTAATAAAGGGGATAGAGAAAGTGGTGTTAAAAGGGGGTTGTATAGTTTTTTTTTATAAAAAAGAATAGTATTAAATGAATCCGTAAAATAATTATGTACGTACAAAGTCCAAAAAAGCGAGAGTGCCGTAAAAGATGTTGAAACTGAATGAACAAGTCTATTTCATCCATAAAACGCACTCTCATCAATTGTACAGTGCCACACACATATACTATTCGTCTTCGTTTTACAATGCCTGGAACAATCTTCCTCAACGCCAACGCCACCTTCAGGGTTCGCTTCCGAGCCCAGGCCCGTTCCCCCTTGCCCGTCAAGCCCACGCCCCTCACACTACCCACACCCCACCCTCACTGGGCCTCCTTGCAGGCCGACATTGAAGCCCACCTAAAACAAGCCATTCCCATCAAAGAGCCGCTCGAGGTTTTCGAGCCCATGCGCCGCCTCGTCTTCGACGCCCCCCGGACCACCGTCCCCGCCCTATGCCTCGCAGCCTGCGAGCTCGTGGGCGGGCAGCGCGACCAGGCCATGGACGCTGCTGCGGCCCTGTTACTGAACCTGGCTAATGCACACGTGCACGAGGAGCTTGGTGTTAGGGAGGGGTCCAACATAGCGCTCTGGACCAGAGGGGACGGCGATTGTTACTCGTCTTGGGTTTGAGTTGTGGCAGAGCGGCACGACGGGCCGACGGACCGTTGCAGCCCGGAGCGGGTGATGCGTGTGATAATCGAGATATCACGGGCGGTTGGGTTCTCGAGGGGGCTGATCAGTTCGCAGCACATGCAACGGAAAACGTTGAGAGGAGGAGAAAACATGAAACGCGTTTTGGTGGAGACAGGAAAGGGGAGGGTGGGCGTTGCACGCATGACGGCGCCGCCTGTGGTGCGGTGGTCGAGAGAGTGCTTTTTGGTGGTGTTTTTTTTTTTTTTTTTTTTTTTTTTTTTCTTAGTGATGGAGGAGACATTGAGAGGCCTGAGAAGGTTTGGGTTCATGTGGGCATGATTGAGGGGAATGGCGCAGAGGGGTTTCCGCAACCATGAGTTGAAGAACACCAGAAATCTCGCACTCAGTGAGTTGCCAGCTTTTTCAAGCGACACAGATCTTCGAATGAATGCTCCATCTTTTCGTAATTTTACTAGCTATGGAACATCATCCGATAACCAGCAACAACGTTCGTGTTCTCATCATCACTTTTTAGTTTGTCTATATATATATTTCAATACCAAAGCTTCTGTCTGAAACAAATTTTATATAGAATTAAATTAGTAGAATATTTTAGCCTTTAAAATACCAGTTCATCCATTAGTTTGAGAAGGGAATGATAGAAAAAAGGGTAATAGTCTATGTAACAGTAACAGGACTTATTTGTTTTATTTTTGTATAATATGATAAATCCAGTTTTGAGCGAGTTTCTATGTGTTTATTAAGTGAGTATTTATTTTTGACGTGTTTAGTAACTCTTTATTATGCCGATAATTTCATATTAATACGTACTCAGTCAATAATGATATGGAGTAGACCCCCCCCTACCGTAGAGTTCGGATAATTATAAAATTAAGGTTTCATACCTCTTTTGGTCCCTATAAAGGGGCAAATGTTCAATGTGGTCCACCTTTTTTAGAAGTTCAATGTGATCCCATCTTTTGTAAAAAGTGTGCAATCAAGTTCCTTTTGAAAACGGCGTTAAGTTTTTAACGGGAGCAGCTGACAGGGTGGACTGACGTTAGCTACATGGCTTTGTGTGGGTAATACGTGGCAGTGAGAGGGTGATACGTGGCTGTGAGGGGTAAATCGAAGTTAGGGTTGGTTGAGAGAAATTAGTAATTTGGGATTTCTTAGAAGATCAGAGAGGCGAAGAACATTGTCGTCAACGATACCATACTCTTGATTAGGGCTATCTCTTTGCCATCGGAAAACCAACTTCTGCTTTTCACCACGAAGCCTTTGCACTGCTGAATCCTCATTTTCAACCGAAGCAATGGAATCAGACTCCAACACGCGCATTGGGGTTACAACGCCATCCACAATTAGGTAAAATCAAGATTGGCTCACCAAAAAGAAGGTAAACCAAAGTCCGGAACCACTATTTGAAAGGGATTGATTAAATAAGAAACTAAGCTACCAAAAACTCTGCATGCATTCAAAAATTATATAAGTGACGGTTTCAAACGTCTCAAACGATGGTGAACGGTGATTATTCAATTGCTGCACCCAGCACCTTTATCTCTCTCTCTCTTAGAAGCTCACTCCTAAACCAACAACATCAACATCAAAGCAACCTTTTTTCTATGTACACTATTTTGTGCGCGACCGAAAAAGCAAACTTTTTTTACTATACTTTTTCATGATTCTTTTGACCACATTATACTGCGGCGGGGAGAGTAATTAGATTCCCCGGCGATGCAGCTCTGCTGAATTGCACTGGCTGGCATTACACTAGAATTAAAGAAGTGAGAAAAATTGGCAGTGACATTGAGGAGTTTAGTTATTTTGAGAGGTATAATACATGAATGAAGTTATGAAATGAAAGGAGATGAGATGGGTAGGAGAAAGGAAAGGGGAAGACTTAACAAAACTCGGATGCTGGGTGCTCAAGAATCTTTGTTTCCCTGAATCAACAGACATTGGGTCCAAAACCCCACAAAACCATTGTCACCCTCAATCGAAAATCTGATCCCCTCTTGCTGATATTCCCTATAATGGAAAGCCCCAAAGGCGGAAGCCGCAAAGGCAAAAAACAGAATGTCCGGCATCATCTACCGGAATTAGAAGTCTGGCCGGCAGGGTCAAGATCTGTTCACCGGAAAAGTAAAAGGAGACGGTGGGCACCCGAACGCTAACAAAGCCGTTCAAATCGTAGCAGGTGTCGAAAATGGAGAGTCGGGTGCCGGGGCAGGTTGGTGGTATGAGCAGAAAAGCGTTCCGAAATTACTAATTTACCGAGAGCCACGTATCACCCTCTCACTGCCACGTATTACCACCACAAAGCAAAGTAAGCTAACTTCAGTCCACCCTGTCAGCTGCTCCGTTAAAAACTTAATCGTCGTTTCCAAAAGGACTTGATTGCACCACTTTTTACAAAAGATGGGATCACATTGAACTCTAAAAAAGGTGGGACACATTGAACTTGGCCCCCTTCTAGAGACCAAAGAAGGTATTAACCTAAAATTAATTATATGTTAATATTAATCTTTCTTATATATATATATATATATATATATATATATATACAAAAAATATTTCATACATTAGTACTGCAAAAGAAAACAAACGATTATTTTTGACTATATATAACAATTAATGCACCAAAATATATACTGAGATAAAAAAGAATAGGTTTTTTTTGTCTCGATGGACATAATTCATACCAACCAAGACAATAAATAAGATCTTTTTACATTGATTTTGTTTGCAACCGAGAGACAAAAAGTATTCCATATAATTTTTTTTTTCTATTTTTTGTTGCCTTAGTTCAATGGAACCAAAGTAGTATGTGGTGGTTTAGACAACAGTTGTGGTCTAATTGAGGTGGTAGATGTAATTTTTTTTCTAATTTTTTTTTTTTGCTTATGATGAGGTCTATTGTTTCGACTGTGACTAGAACCAATGTCATAGACTCCATTTTGTCTTGGTTATGATCACAATTGATGCATATTTTGCACGTTTTTTTTTAAATAGATCTCTTACTATAAAAACATACCTGCATATGCACAAAAAGTTTTCATAACACAAAAAAACAGTCCAGAAGTTTATTTTCAATGAAAATTAGAATGAATCATAATCAATTCAATGTATATAGAATTATAATTATAATTCAACTTTGTATTGACATGTTAATGTACAACTTACTATATCATAATAACTACCTTATCTTCAAATTTCTTATATAAAAGATAATTTGATTTTAATCTTTATTATAAATAATATTATACACCAATTTACATTATCATCCAATTTTTAGACTTCTTAATATTATAAAATTTCATATCAAACTTAATTTTTTATTAAAGAAATTTAATCTCTTTTTATGATTACAACAATTTAATGTTTAATCATATAGGAAAAGAAGATTAAATTTTCTTTAATAAAAAATTAAGTTTGATATGAAATTTTATAATATTAAGAAGTCTAAAAATTGGATGATAATGTAAATTGGTGTATAATATTATTTATAATAAAGATTAAAATCAAATTATCTTTTATATAAGAAATTTGAAGATAAGGTAGTTATTATGATATAGTAAGTTGTACATTAACATGTCAATACAAAGTTGAATTATAATTATAATTCTATATACATTGAATTGATTATGATTCATTCTAATTTTCATTGAAAATAAACTTCTGGACTGTTTTTTTGTGTTATGAAAACTTTGAGACCTATAATAAATGCAAGGTGTATGTTTGTGTTAATAGGTTAAAGAAGATCTATGTTTATAAAAGAGTAAAGATAGGTGGTGGACAGGGCACACGCACAAAATGGTATGGTGCATCAATGTTAGATCTTCCATAACCAATGTACAAGAGGATTTGTGCTAAGACAATTGGGTGTTTCTATGTCGATACAGC